GCCAAGGTCCAACTAATGACAAGAGGCTCAACATCAAAATAAACTCCTTAAGCCTAATTATGGCCTAATTTTCTAAATTGAGCCTAATTCCATCCCTGGCCTTCACTCAAGAAGATCCAACAAGCTAAAAGCCCAAACCATAAAATCCCAGACAACCCATTACAGGCCAAAGCAACCAAACCCAGAACCGAAGCCCAAAATGAAAAAGCCCAATATAGCTGCATACGCGGGGGGTACTCTGGAGGTACGCAGGGCATACGCGAGCCTGACATTGAATGGTTACGGGGATTCTGACCTTGAACACGGGGCATACCCCCTTCTATGCGGAGCGTATCCTCGTAGAGACCAAAACTATTATAAGTGCTTAATGGCTTAAGCACTTAAGCCCAAACTTCAAATCCATGGTCCAAATGCACAATAAAGTCATAAAGTCTCCAACTTTATGACTTTAGACGTCCAAAAGTTCTTAATACAAGGTCTTAATCTATTAAGACCTTTCTACCAAATGCATGGGCCACTTTTAGCCATTGGAACCTCATTTTTATGATTAAGGACCCCTCCGAGGGTCTGAAAGGACATCTCAAATCATCCAGAACATGCCATGTTCAAAATGGAGAATTTGGGATGAATAAAGAAGCATAAAAGAATCTAAAAAGAGATATAGCAAAACAATCATAAAGGTATGAACTTTATACCTTTGGATGATAGAAAAGGAAGCGTAAACTCCAGATCCAAGCCTTGCTTCACGTTCCTAAGCTTCTTGATGCAACTTCTTCCTCTTTAAACACACAAGGATCACCTCTTAGCTCACAACACACACTTATGGAGGTTAAGGTTTTGCCAAAATGACCCAAGGACTTGGAGGCTAGAAAAAGATGGGAGAAATGGTCCGTAGATGCTTAAATACTCCAAAACCCCTAAGAATTTGGGTTTTCACCTGGACACAAGTACGCCCAACGTACTAGGCATGCCCTAGTACGCTTAATGTACTCACATGTATGACCAGCGTACAACTCCTGCTCCATAAATTACCATTTTACCACTAGGGCTTCCAATGGACACTTCATTCCAATATAAAGACTAGATGTGACATAATTAAAAATCAAGGGATGGATGTGAAATTACTTGAAAACTAGGGTGTTACAAGCTTCAACCCGAAAATCAGGTGGAAGGTGGGCGTGAAGGAGAAGAGTTTGTATGATATTGTTGATTGTACATATCATATGTTCGGACTTCCCATTTTGTTGGGACATTCGAGAGCACATGAAACAGAATGTGATGCCATTTTCACTAAATAAATTATGAAAAATATGATTGCCAAAGTCACCCCTATGGTTATATTGGAAACTTGTAATATCAGTTTTGAATTGGTTTATGACAAAGGCACGAAAGTGTAAGAATTGAGAAAACTTCTGATTTGTTTATATGAGGATATACCCAGAAAAAGTGGGAAAAGTGATCAAGAAAGAGAATGTAATAGTTTATACCACTAATAATTTCAACAAGAGATTGCCATAAATCAGAATGAACAATATCAAATAAACTAGAAACAATAGTGTTTGAACTTTCAAAAGGTAAACTCTTCACGAGGGTGATTTAAGTGCAACGAAATGCCTTAAGAATATGGTTCATGAAGCATATGACTACGATTCGATAGAGAATGATTTGGCACATCTTCGATTTCCTGGTATGAAAGAAATCTTAACTCGCTCGAACTTCCTAGGGCCAGTGAACTCAATCTTGAACCCCTGTTTAGCTTTCTCTTTAGCCTAATTAATGGTCAACTTCATTGGTACCCTTTCAGTATGCGTTGCGAACACTTTCATTTTTAGCGTCTCATCTTCTCTATAGAAGCGAAACTCGAACGGATAGAAGGGAAGGGGCATTCGGGAAGCGACTAGTCGCTTCTGGCGAAGCTTCCAGAAGGTCGACCACTACATAGAGAGATCCATATACCAGTCATGAGCGATAGCGAAGCCTAGAAAGGCATAGGACAAGATCCAAAAGCTTAGAAAGGGTCAGGAAAGGAACGGAGAAGGGGTTGGATTTCACTTATGATCAGATCAGTGGGCAACCATAGTTTACACTTTTCGTAGTGTTGTTAACTCAACATCCTGCTGCTCATAGTGTTTCACGATCAGTATTGGAAATGAACGGAGAAGTCGTGGAACGTGTGAAACCATATATTGGATCACTCCAGTGCAGCACGAAGTTGCTGATGCCGAGTTGGCTCCTGTGACTCGCATTGGGAACTTTATCCCACCCTACGCCGTCCGATGGGTACACGAATGAGGGTGCCCTCGATTGACATTTATCATCGAATAAGGAATCCTTCCATGGATGAGAAGTTTGAGTTATAGTACAGACTCCGTTGGCTTTCACAAGGAAGCATCTCGAAAGTTCCGCAATCTATGGTTGATGCCTCACTCGAACTCTATCCCATACCCTAATGCTGAAGCTACGCTGCCTCTTGGATAGATTTTCCAAGTTGACAAGCTTGGCAAGAAACAGTACTAGAACTTTTATTACATGTAATTAATTTATTGGAAACTAAATGATTGAAAAAATGAGCTCTAAAGTGACCGAGATGTTGATGACACAAGGAAGTAGAACCAGAAAGAAGAGCAACTTGGGTATAGGGAATGATTGGGTAGAGGTCACCGGAGCTGTCACACCTAAGCAAAACTGACGGGTTTTGAGATCCTTCACAGAAAAACCACACAGATCAAATTCAATAGAAACAAGACTATCAGTTGTAAAACGACGAACACATATGAGGTTTTTGATAATATTAGGTGTGACTAATACATTACGAAGGTGCAAGGGACGATGCAATGACTTTAATTTGGTATGGCCAGATCGATGAACATGTATGGAAGAACCATTACCAACAAGAATGTGGTTTATATGATAGTTATTTCCAAAAGTAGTGAGTTTATCTGTGTCTGAAGCGAGATGAGTGGTAGTTCCTATGTCCATGTACCACTGAGTATCCAAGCCATCATTTATGTACATCGAGCTCAAGGCTTGCGTGATATTTATAGGCTTATCCGGGGTCAGCGGGGGAAACCATTGAGCTAGAGGAACAAGATTCTGATGCTGACAGGCAGCATAGAAGGTTGCTGCAGGGGGGCTGTTGAGTCGGTAAACCCGAGGTTGGAGCAGTATCGAGGAATCCAGGTTGTTGGTTTCTCATTGGTTGGTAACTAGTGGAAGTCGGGGGTCAAGTGAGCTACTGCCAGGAAGGATATGACTAGGTGCAGGGATTCCACGGAACCGGGTATGGAGGCCATGGAAAACCCGATGGAAGCGATGGTATTATGGTGGTGGTTCTGGATGGGCGGCAATTATAAGTTGAGTGGGAGCTACTACGACGTGGCTATGAAGGGCGAAGACCACTTTGGTTGTTTTGAGAGAAGTGCCTGTTGCGTGAGTTCGAGGGGATGGGATTTCCAGCATGAAGAGCTTGAGGTGACGATGCATGATCTATATAGGGAAGTTGGATGGGTCAGTTACGACTCATGGTTCACTCCTCCAAGGTAAGAATCGACCTGCATTTTAGAAGAGATGAAAGCGGGTCTTGATGGCATAAGACAATGGCAATGTTCTCAAACTTTGGTGACAATCCATTAATGAGATATGTAACCAATGTTTGTTTAGTCACTGGTGATCCTATGTTTGCGAATAAATCTGAAATCACCTTCATTCTTTCATAATAATCAGAGATGGAGAGATCGCCTAGAGTTAGGGTTCGAAGTTCTTGATCAAGCTCAATTGCTCTAGTTTGTTTGTTGTCTCTAAAAAGAGTTTCAAGATCAGTCCATACGGTATGAGTAATGGCACCTGGGTTGAGGATCATGTTGAGAAGACTTTGAGTGATAGTTTCATAGATCTACATCTTAACAAGATCATCAAGATTGGAGCAAGCTACATCATTGGCATCTGCAGGTTTGTAAGTGACTGTGAGATGACCTTTAACTCCAAAACTATTGCAGTGGGTTTGGAAGAGTTCTTTCCAAGCATCATAGTTCGCTTGTTGAGATCCAAAATCAGTGGAATGTAGACTTTAATGTTGGTTACACCAAAAGGTTTGGTGTTCTTGGATGATTCAGACATTCTTGTGGCAGATTAGAGAGGAACGATTGGAAGAGAGGAGAAGAAGAACACAAAATTGGTGAGAGCAAGAAGAAGGCGGCGATAGATTTAGAGAGAAAAAAAAAATAGGAGGCGCTCTGATACCATGAAACAACGTTATTTTCCTTTAATTGCCTTTTGACCTATGATTTCATTAATATAATCTGATAAATACATAATGGGCTACAATACAACGAACTATAGTAAAATACAAATACAATACTTGGGCTTAAGGAAATATACATACAAGCTACGCTAATAGAAATCAATAAAACTTTTTGAAGTTCGTACGTAGCACGTTTACCCTAATCGTATGAACCACATAACTTTTGTGTGTTCTTTACTTTTTTTTTCTTTTTCCAATCTTATATTTTGTGTGTTGATTGAAACATTTAAAGTTTTAGGGTCAGATTAAAAAAGCTAGTTGTAGATAGAGATTGATGACTTGATGCGATCTTATTATGAAATCAATAAAAACTCTTTCTAATTTATTTGTTGACGTAACATGGTTACCGTGTGAATCATGTAACCCTTGTTTGTTCTTCACTATTTCTTTTGACTTATATTTTGTGTGAGTTGACCAAATCCCTAACAGTTACAAGTAATATGCTTATCAGTTATAACTTATAACCCGTATATATTCTGTGAAAATTATTCTCTGTATTATTGGACAATTGCAATTAGACAATTTCTTCACTAAAATCATGGTAAAAGCATAAAACCACAGGGCAAAAGGCAGTCTAATAATATAGTAAAATACCTACATAAATATCTCTCATAAGAAACTGACAAGAATAATCTTACTTAATGATACAGAGATCAACCAACTATTTTATCCCGATTTAATAAATTTCAACTTGTCATGACTCATGTGACCAAGGACTAAGAGCATATGCAAAACTAAGGAGTCTAAGTGTAAATACTTCAAAGATAAAGGCATGCAAGCGCAATTTCTCCAATATATATACCCACTCACCAACTTGCAAAATCCACACCCAAAACTCACTCCAAGTCTAAGTACCAGTTATGGAGGCTTTACACTTCACCCTTCTCTTACTTTGCTCCTTGACCCTAGTTCACTCGATAAGCCCAAATTGTTACTCATCTAGCCAAGGCTCAACCCTCAGGGTCTACCATGTCTCGAGCCCATGCTCACCATTTAGACCAAAGACACCACTCTCATGGGAGGAGAGTGTGCTTCAAATGCAGGCCGATGACAAAACCAGGCTCAGTTTCTTGACGAGCCTGGTTGCTGGCCGGTCTTTTGTGCCTGTTGGGTCGGGCAGACAAATCATTCAGAGCCCGACCTACATTGTCAAGGCCAATATCGGCACACCGGCTCAAAGTCTGCTTATGGCTTTGGACACCAGCACCGATATGGCTCTGATTCCTTGCGCCGGATGTGTCGGTTGCTCATCCGCCACCTTTGACTCTACCAAGTCAATTAGCTACTCTTCACTTGCTTGCGGTGCCGATCAATGCAAACAAGTACGTTTCAATAAATTCTATACCAAAAATATAGGTTATAAATATGTAAATTCACTATTTGCATACACCACAAACAATAAATCCATAAGTTTTATGAGACATGCCTTTTGGATATTCTTTATGGATAATCGCATTTGGATACTTTTGGTATACCTTTTCTTGATATACAGGTGATGCCAGAACTGCTATTTTTCAGATATAATTGGCATTGCCTCTGTAGATCTAGTTTTACGTTTTTTTTGGAAACGGCATCTATTTTTACGTATGTTAAAGCTTCGCATGCTTGTGTTATCATAATATAACTTTTAAAAGAAAAAAAAAAGTATCGATCTATTAATGACACTTCATTGTTTTATACATTCACATTCATTTTAGTAATCATTACAAAATATTGTTGATTTAAACCGGTGTACAAAAAACTATGTTTATTAATAATTTAATATATCTTTGAGATTTTATTATTATTATTAGTTTTAAAGTTATGTACTTTTAATAGATACATATCAAAAAAATATATAAAATATTAAAAAAAAAGTATAAATGTAAAATCATTCCACTTTTATACTATTCGAAATTGACAAAAGTATGACGGGATGAGGAGATCGAGGGAAATCCGTGAGTCGGTTTTGGTTGGATTCCATGGAGAGTCCATTTTCAGGCCCACCGAGGGACCGTTGTCTCTTATCCCGTGACTTCCGTTTTACACCTGCTTTTCCAAATCTAGATTAAATTATAAACTTAATGATAGATTTATTACATTAAAAAACAAAGAGATTATAAATATCGCTTTCTTATTTGGTAATCGAGAAATTTGTATCATATATCGTTAACCTTGGTTTTAGATGTACATTCACTAAAATAGATATTAAATGAAAATACATAATTTTGTCATTTGCAGTTTCATTGCACTACGATAAAATATAGAAAAAGTTGTTCATACATATGAATGTGTCCCTTGATATCTTTAGTGTTATTGTTTGTAGGTACAAAGTACGGGTTGCCTCGGGACGACATGTTCCTTAAACATAACATATGGAAACTCCATCATCGAGGCTAACTTGGCGCAAGACAACTTAACCCTGGCCACTGACTCTGTCGTGGGCTACCCTTTCAGTTGCATTCAGAAAACAACCGGCAGTTCTTTACCACCACAAGGTGTTTTAGGCCTTGGTCGTGGTCCGTTGTCATTTGTATCGCAATCTAAGACACTTTACCAGTCCACATTCTCGTACTGTCTTCCTAGTTTCAAATCTTCAAATTTTTCGGGGACACTAAGATTAGGTAAAAACGGACAACCCATTAACATCAAATACACACCGTTGCTTGTAAACCCCAGAAGAACATCGCTTTACTATGTGAACTTGGTCGGAATTAAAGTTGGCTCGAAGGTTGTCAACATCCCCCCGAGTGCAATAGCTTTCAACCCAAATACCGGTGGTGGCACCATCATCGATTCAGGTAATTCTTAAGAATTTTTAAACAATTTGGTTTGGAAAAAATATCGTCATCATGACATCATCATCACATTATATGTGCTTTTTCAAGAAAGTACTTATATCATCATTTAATTTACAGAACATCCAAACACTCGTTAAATATTTTTATTAAACTACATCGAAAACAGAAATTAAAATAAATAAATAAAACATACAAGACACTTAGAGTGTATAATTATAGTAAAAATCGGGTTACTATATTGTACTTTAAAACCTACAATAATAGTAAGTTTTAGTTGAGTAGATTTTTAAAAATATAATATAATAATGAGAAAAAGAAAATCAAAATCAAAATCAAAATATAACTTTATAATTAATAGACAAAGAAATCAAAATATATTCTTATTCCCTATTATAATATTTCATAAAAGCATCTGTCAATATAAAGGTTGCTTTTATTTGTGCAGGCACGGTGTTCACCAGGCTGGTGGACGGAGCCTACACGGCGGTGAGAGATGAGTTCAGAAGGCGGATGGGAAAAGCCGTCGTATCGACACTAGGCGGCTTCGACACTTGCTACACTGTCCCAATCGGAAAACAAGTCCCGACAATGACTTTCATGTTCCCCGGACTCAACATGTCGCTGCCACAAGACAACTTCCTCATCCACAGCTCCTCCGGCTCTACCACCTGCCTCGCCATGTCTTCCTCGCCGGCGCTCAACGTCATCGCCAATATGCAGCAGCAGAACCACCGCGTTTTGTTCGACTTACCAAATTCCAGGCTGGGAATATCACGTGAGATCTGCTCGTGAAACACGTGACTTATGGTTTCTTGTAATTTGTCTTGTTATGTAATATTTATGCTTAAATTGTACTATTACTATTATTTACTATGCCTATGGAGGTGACTACTTTAAAAAGAAGATTTGCCGGAATCAAGCATGGGACCATGAGTATGTTTTTTTAATAATCGTGTAATCTTTTTCTAATGGATTAAGTTTATAAAATATAAGTTTCAAATATGAATGTTTTAATTAGACAAAAATCGATCAGAAGTTTACATCGAAATATCGAGTTTTTCATGTTCATAAAAGCTCGATGGTTAAGATAATGTATGGTATTTAAATATATAAGTATCAATGTTGTGAAATAGAGTATAAAGATACCATGAAGAATGTTATAATGAAAGACACTATATACGCTAGTCGTGTTTGTGGGGTCATGGCGCATGTTGAGAACATTCCAGCAGATAGAAAGAATAATCACAAGCTGAAAGGTGCATCGGTTGGCTTCTCAGATTTGTTTGGGGACAGGGAATCGAGGGGGTTCACATGCGAGCTCATAGGGTGGGGCATAGAGCAATAAGTCGTAACTCACATGTACAATATCGGGTGGTAGGACTATGGGATTGATATATTCGAAGCATATCTTTATCACCAAATAACAATACCAAACAAATGAAGCATATATGATTTTAACCATACCAACCTCACGCATTGTCGATTAGGTCATGATAACCAAAAATGCATTAATGAAATCAATACAAACAAATTTTGGATTCATTCGATTTAATTGGAATCAAATGATAAATGTAAGGGCAGTGCGGCAGGATATGGATTTTTAAAATATTGTTTGGTTAGAAAATTTTTGTGTTGGAAAGATAAAAAATGAAGATTTTACCCTTGTGTATTATTTTTTATTGAATTGAATGTTTTTTTTTAATAAAATAATCGAACCAAGTTTTTGAATACTTATAAAAAATATAAATACCATATAAAATCCAAATTAAACATAAATCCAAATTAAATACAAATCCAAATCAAACATAAATAGTTTTGAATACACAAAAGCAAACTAAAATCAAAATAAAATTTTACAAATTTAATTTGAACCAAATCTAACTTCTAACACAACTCAAGAAATGAAAGTATATTTGTTATAAAATTAAAATCCAATTGACCCTCTTTTGATTCATACAGATTCCATGGAACATAAGTTTGAATTACGTTCAATCTCAAAGCCTTTGCTCTTGTTCGCCTATCATCTTAATACTTACCCAAAAAATAACATGTAGTGAAATCATGCAGCAAATTGAACAAAACAAGACATAAATTTCTAAAGAAAAGTTCATTCATCCAAATACGGAAAAGGAGCTTCTAAAAATGACCATGATTTATGATTATGTGTGTTATATAGTTGTTAATCCGGTTGATAGTTAATTGGAAGTTCCATGTTTTAAAAGTGATTCAGATTTGATAAAACAAACTTCAAAAATGGATCTTAATTCTATAAAATCATTAGGAAATAACAATTTCAAATGATAATTAATTTTCTTAAGTGAAGAAGCAACATAGAAAACAGATACAGAGACAGGGAAATAATACATAGTTTTTGGTGGAAAAAAACCTTATCACAATCGATAACTTTGAGCGAGGCAGAGATGGCGTCACTGATAGTGGCGCTGGCGGAGGGTTGCAATCAAAGTTTTAGTGAGAGGGAGCAAAAGGATCGGCATTTGTGAAGAAGAGGGAAAGAAGATTGAAGTAGTAGGGAAAAAAGAGAGCACATTTTGTTTTTTATTTCAAGCACGCTCTTACATCTAAAAAATTAAGAAGCATAAATTCAAATGTCATTGGACACCCCTAAGTCATGCCACCAAAATAAAGAACACACTTTTTTTTTTATTTCAGACACGCTCTTTAGTGTTCAATTAAGAGGCTCTCAAACAGCCCTAAGTCATGTTTCTTAAATAAATTGACAATATCCTTCAATAGATATGGTCGAGTTGTAAATTTGATAGATCTTATGCACATTTAAGTATATAGACCATTAAGGCTTGAGGGAGGGGGATGCAGGCACCATGACATGCTTAGTGCGCAACACCCCACCATGGTCACATACCGAGTAAATTGGCTTCCACGACATTGAATTGTCGAGGAGAGAGAGAGAGAGAGAGAGAGAGAGAGAGAGAGAGTGTGTGTGTGTGTGTGTGTAACGGCTTTTCTAATTTTTTTTTTCAATTTCAAACCATTATATTTACTACACCTATCCTACCAAATTACACAACACCAAATCATTATTCTTTAAAAAAAGAGAAATTAAATATCCTCCTACCTTTTGATCCTACCAATCCTCCTATCTATTTAAATGATGACATTTATCATATTAGTATCCTAAAATATCATTAAATCCCAATAAATGAACATTAAATGTTACACATATCACACTTTCATTGGGTAGGAGGATATATAGGAACAAAAAGTAGGAGAATATTTAATTTCTCTTAAAAAAATTATTCTTCATCGTCAATATCTTCCTCTTTCAGTAATTTAAAATTCATGTTAGATACCACGATCAACGTTGCTAATTTGTTGCAACAAGAATTAGATGATGAAATATGAAATGTGCAAAGAAGACAAATGTCTAATGCATCATTATTTTGATGAGCATGTTGTTTTCCAAGGTTATTATTTTTAGATGTCGGTTCCGAATTCACAAACATTTGTTTCAGCGTATAGTAGAAGACATGACGGCAGCATGTAAAATTTTCCAACAATGTCGGGATGCAAGAGGTATGGTGGGATTTCATCCTCTACAAAAATGCACAACCTTAATTTGTATGTTAGCATCTGTTACCCCACCCAATGCACTAGAAAAGAGTTTTAGGATGTCCTCGTGTACCACACGACAAATTTTGCAAGTATGTCATGAGGTTGTAAGGTTCATGCTATTTGTGTTACCCTATTTCCAATAACATACAACAGTTGTATGCTCATCATGCAAACGTGCATGGCTTTCCTGGATTCTTAAGAAGCTTGGACTGTATGCATTGGAAATGGGTAAATTGTCCAACTGCATATCATCGGCAATGTACATGTGGTAATCAAGGTTACCCGTTGGTTATACTTGAAAGTGTAGCCTCACAATAACTCGGCTTATCCTATTAAAACATAAAGAAGGAATCTAGTGACCTTCTTGCTTGAGACCTTATATGCACTCAAAGTTATAATGAAATTTGAATTTGGTCTTCATCCCACATTTTATGAAAGATCTAAACTTTCGTGCTTTGGTGGGTCTCTGAGATCCTTTCGACGCAAGGGGAATCAGAATAGGCTTATCACCGACAGTTTGTTCAGGGTTCCAAACTCAATGATGACAACTAAACATGAGGGTTGTGCTCGTTGTGGGACTTAACCCAACACCTTATGGCACAAGCTGATGACAGCCATACACCACCTGTATCTGCGTTCCCGAAGGTACCCCTCTATTTAAAGAGGATTCGTGACATTTCAAGCACTGGTAAGGTTCTTCGGTTTGCATCGAATTAAACTGCATGCTCCACCGCTTGTGTAAGTCTCATTCAATTCCTTTGAGTTTCATTCTTGTGAATATACTCCCCAGGCGAGATACTTAATGCGTTAGCTACAATACTACATGGGTCAATATGCACAACTTAGTATCCATCGTTTACGGCTAAGACTATTGGGGTATCTAACCCCATTTTCTCCCCTATCTTTCGTCTCTCGATGCCAGTGTCGGCCCAACATAGTGCTTTCGTGGTTGGTGTTTCCGATCTCTATGCATTTTACCGCTCCACTGAAAATTCCTTCTTCCCCTACCTAGCCCTGGGGTTTGACGGTGGACTTAAAAAGCCACCTACAGACGCTTTACACCCAAACATTCTGAATAACGCGTGCATCATTTGTATTACTGCGGTTGCTGGCACAGAGTTTGTAGATGCTTATTCCCCAAACACCGTCATTGCTTCTTCTCCAGGAAAAGAAGTTTATGACTCGTAGTTTTACCAATATTTAAGGGTTCCTTTATTTGATTTCTTTCACATAAAGGAAATAGGGTAATTAGGTGGTATAATATATGTATATGAATGTTAGAACTTCTTCTAACAACCTATGCATTCTATTATCATTTTCAATTGGACGATCCATTAATCCAACTAGTAGAGGATTATAAATGGATCAATTTTTTTATTTCCATTTGAAATTAGGAATTTATGAATTGTCTATAGGACCCGTTTTATTAACATGATTTATCACTACTTTACCTACTTTAGCATCCTGATCTGTTACTCAAGATTCTCGATTATTCTATTTCTTGATGTTAGCAATGCACAATGGCCAAATAAGATCATTTTCTTCTTGGGACCTTTTACTTTTGTTCATCATGTGGGAATTAGGATAAATTCTAGTTTATCTACTTCTATCTATGTGGGGAGGAAAGAAACGTCTCTACTCAGCCACACAGTTTATTTTGTACACGGCGAGATGTTCCATTTTTCTCTTAATGGGAGTTTTGGGTATTTGTTTATATGGTTCTAATGAACCAACATTAAATTTTGAAACATCATTGAATCAGTCGTATCCTATGGCTTTGGAAATAATATTATATATTGGATTTTTTATTGCTTTTGCTGCCAAATTACCGATTCTTCCCCCACATACATGGTTACTAGATACGCGCGGAGAGGCACATTACAGTACTTGTATGCTTCTAGACGAAATTTTATTAAAAATGTGAGCATATGGATTGATTCAGATCAATATGGAATTATTACCACATGCACATTTTATATTTTCTCCTTGGTTGATGATAGTTAGTACAATACAAATAATCTATGCACATTTTATATTTTCTTGATGTTAGCAATGCACAGTGGCTAAATAGGATCATTTTCTTCCTGGGACCTTTTACTTTTGTTCATCATGTGGGAATTAGGATAAATTCTAGTTTGGGTGTGTGTGTGTGGTTGCTTTCCCTTTTGGCATCGTGCCTGTGGTACTGTTAATCATCATCGACCTGACACTCTGTCACTTACTTCTATCTATGTGGGGAGGAAAGAAACGTCTCTACTCAGCCACAAAGTTTATTTTGTACACGGCGAGATGTTCCATTTTTCTCTTAATGGGAGTTTTGGGTATCCGTTTATATGGTTCTAATGAACCAACATTGAATTTTGAAACATCATTGAATCAGTCGTATCCTATGGCTTTAGAAATAATATTCTATATTGAATTTTTTATTGCTTTTGCTGCCAAATTACCGATTCTTCCCCCACATACATGGTTACTAAATACACGCGGAGAGGCACATTACAGTACTTGTATGCTTCTAGCTGAAATGTTATTAACAATTTGAGCATATGGATTGATTCAGATCAATATGGAATTATTACCACATGCACATTCTATAACCAATACGAGACTCAATGGAGCTATTTTACAAATAATCTATCATGGGTTTATTGGTGCTGCACTTTTTCCTTAGCAGGAACGAGTTATGATAAAATACGTCTTGTTTATCTCGACCAAATGGGCGGAGTAACTATCTCCATGCCAAAAATATTTACG